GAAACTACAGAAATTCAAAGGATCCTCAGGGAGTACTTTGAGAAGCTTTATGCCACAGAACACGAAAATCTCGAGATCTTCTTGGTTCATCCTTGGGAGGCTATAGGAATCTAGGAATGTATCCATTTCTTCGAAGTTTTCGTGTTCCGTGGCATAAAGCTTCTCAAAGTACTCCCTGAGAATCCTTTGAATTTCTGTAGTTTCTGTTGTAATGAGCCCCTTTTCATTTCTGATTCGGTTTATTAGGGTTTTTGGTCTCCCTTTGTGAGTTTTGCTAGAGGCTTATCAATCTTGTTTATTTTCTTGAAGAATCAGCTCTTGGTTTCATTGATCTTTCGGATTGTTTTTTGGGATTTCATCTCGTTAATCTCTGCTCTGAGTTTTATTATTTCCTTCCTCCTGTTCGGATTGGGTTCCTTTTGTTGGTCATTCTTCAAGCTCTTAAACTGTGAGGTTAGGTTACTTATGTGGGCTTGCTACTCCTTAAGGAATGCTTGTCGATCTATAAACATTTCTATTAACACAGCTTTTGCTGTGTTCCATAAGTTTTGGTAACCCGTGTCCTCATTTTTATTTGTTTCCAGGAGTCTTTTGATTTCCTCTTTGATTTCCTTTCTAAGCCACTCATTGTCCAATAGTGAGTTGTTTAATTTCCAAGTGTTTGATTTATTTTTCTGTTTGTGTGTGTGATTTACTTCTAATTTCAGCGCATTGTGGTCTGAGAAGATTGTTGATACAATCTCTATCTTCTTAATTTTGTGGAGGTATGTTTTGTGGCTCAGCATGTGGTCTATCTTGGACAATGTTCCATGCACGCTTGAGAAGAATGTGTATTCAGCTTTTTGAGGATGAAGTGTCCTGTATATATCTACTAAGTCCCTTTCTGCCATTTTTCCCTCAGATGAAGTATGTCCTTGCTAAACTTGAGTCTGGTTGATCTATAAAGAGGTGAAAAAGCGGTGTTGAAGTCTACCACTAGTATTGTGTTGCTATCAATGTCTTTCTCCAAGTCTATGAATAGTTGTTTTAAGTACTTTGCTGGACCCTCATTAGGTGCACATACATTTAGTATTGTAAGTTTTTCCTGTTGTACAGATCTCTTGATCAATAAGAAATGGCCTTCACTGTCTCTTGTGACCTTCAGTCTGAAATCATTGTGGTCTCATACTAGGATGGCTACCACAGCTTTTTTTTATGGGAGTTGTTTGCCTGTAGGATTGTTTTTCAGCCTTTGATACTGAGCTTGTGTTTTCTTTGACTATTGAGATGTGTTTCTTACAGACAGCAGAATGTTGGGCTCAATTTTATAATCCATCCTGCCACTCTGTGTCTTTTAATTGGTGCATTTAGACCATTGACATTGAGAGAGATTATTGTTATGGAGTTTTGTCCCATTTTTCTGTTGAAATTTGGTGTATTTGAGGAGCCTGTCTTGTCTTAAAGTAACCCATTTAGTTGCTCTTGTAACCATGGTTTTGAGTCTATGAAATTCCTGAGCTGTTGGTTGTCTGTGAAACTTTGTTGTTCCTTCTGTTATGAATGAGAGTCTCGCTGGGTAAAGTATTTTTGGTGAGGCATTTATTTCATTGAGTTTTTTTCACTATATCCCACCACTGTTTTCGGGTCATGAGGGTTTCATTAGACAAATCAGCTGTGAATCTTAAGGATGCTACTTTGTAGGAAATTTCTTTCTTTGATCTTGCTGCTTTCAGAATTTTGTCTTTATCTAAGATTTTGGTCATTTTGATCAGGATGTGTCTTGGGGTATTTTTATTCGGATTTCTTCTAGCTGGTACCCTTCGGGCCTCCTGAATGTGGTCACATGGTTTCTTCAGCTCTGGGAACATTTGTATCAATGATGTCTTTGACAGTTTCTTCTTCATCAGGGTTTCTGACTGTCCCTCTGGGACTCCAACAATTCTTATGTTACTCCTCTGGGCTTCATCATGATTTTACCTTGCCATCTGTTCCCAAATTGTGAGTCTCTTTTCCATTTTCTGCTCTTTTCTGGAGAGTCTCTGGACTTCATCTTCGAGCTCCCTGATTCTTTCCTCAGCAACAGTTACTCTGCTGCTGAGGCCTTCCACTGAGTTTTTCAATTCCCCTACCAGGTTTTTCCGTTTACAAGTGGAAAATGACATTTTCATTTGTAATTTTGTTTGAATTTTCCTAATTTCTACCTTCAAATCCTCTTGTCTTTTATTGGCATTGCTTTCCATTGTTTCCTTTTGCTCCCTAGGCATCCTCAGTAGCTCCCTCTAAATTCCTTGTCAGAGAGGTTGTCTAGCACTTCTTTACTGTTGGTGTCGTCTGGGCTAGCCTCTTCAAGAAGTAAGCTTGGTGGGCTTCAGCATTGTTTTACCATTGTGACCTGTGCGGTTTAGACCTTCAGACTCACTGTTACTGTTCTGCTCTAAGATGCAGAATTAATTGAGATGAGCTTAATGAATTATTGGCTAATGTGTTTCTGGTGGTTAACCTAGTGAAAGTTCCATCTAAGAAGGTAACTTATGGCTCCTATGGGATATGTAGGGGGAGAATAACTTGTGTCCTCATTAGTGGCCACGGCTCCAGGAAGGGGCCCTGCTATAGGGTGGGTACCTGGATGAGTGAGCAAGGGTACCGGAACAGCTCAGCTTTGGGTTCGCACAGTGTGCCTCAATTCCCTTCCCCCGCAGACCAAGAATGAAAACCAGCCACTCTCAGGGAATCTAGTAAGACTCGCAGCCCCAGGAAGGGGCCCTGCCATCGGGCGAGTGCCTGGGTGAGTGAGACAGCAATCGATTTGCTCGAGCGGGCCCAGTAACGTCTCCATTGGAGACTTTGTTGTTACTGTGTCTGGCATATTGAATACTCTCGATAGCTTGCCGGGCTCTCCGAGAGGGGCGGAGGAATCGAACTCGGGTCGGCTATGTTGGCTGCGTGCAAGGCAGACGCCCTACCCGCTGTGCTATCACTCCAGCCCAGCTCCAGACAGCAATAACTTTTAATAATTAATTCAGGTGCTTACACAAAGGGGATATAATCATTCAAACAATATGAAATGATAAATTATTCCCTAAACTGATGAAGTTTTAATTTAAATATATTTTAAGCATTAACACTATTATTAGACAGCCTGTGTTTGACCTCACTAAATACCCAAAATGCGTAGTATGTTACCTAATGTTCTTAGAACTCACTATGTTTACAAAATTAAACAATATGTGAGCATTTCTTTACATAATGAGAGTTAACTGAGATCCTTGTGTTCCTGATTGTACATACACCAGACTGGAAAGTTGCATCATCTTGGAGATTATAGGAAGGAGAAAGGCAGAGGATAAAGTCTCATATTAATCTTCATAATAAGCCTTTAAAATTCATATGGTAACCCCCATTTATTTAACTGAAGAAAACAAGTCTTATACAGTTGGTGAAATGTGCTAATAAGGTATCCAGCAAATAAGTGGCAGAGGTAGTATTCAATGTGAGCTCACATTACTTTACTTTATGATCCTGGTTTCAGTCATAAAATAGCAATTTACAAAAAAAAAGCCAAGTTACTGTTTTGCTATCATGATCATGATCACGATCATCTTGTTGTTCATCGATTGCCTCAAGCAGGCACCAGTGACGTCTCCTTCCTATCCCTGAGATTTTAGAAGAGCCATATTCAATACTCTTTCAGGGTTAGGAGAATGAGACCCATCATTGTTACTGGTATTTGGCATATTGAGTATGACACGGGAAGTTTGCCAGACTCTGCAGTGCAGCCAGGATACTTATAATAGCCTTCCCGGTTCTCCAAAGGAAAAATGAGATAATAAGATGCCATGCAACCACAAATGCAGCTGCGCACTTCCAGGAGCTGGGTTTTATAGTCTCTGCTTCTTGGCTGTTGATGGGACCAACCTGGCACTGGCGGCAGCTGGTGGTTGTGACGCCTATCTACTGGAAGATGGGGGATCTGGGTGGAGAAGGCACAGTCCAGATCTCAGTAGGCTTGGAGATCTCAGCCCCGGGACCTGCATGCCTGGGTTCCTCTGCCAGTTCCTTCATGCATGAGGCTTGTCTGGACATGTGGAGAGTGGTCTCAGCATGGCTGTGGCTGGTTCTGGAGGTCTTCGGCTGCTGGGGCTCTGCTGGGGGGGGGGGGGCGGGGCAACTAAACCCGCCTTCCTCCAAGGCGTCCCTGTGAGGACAGCAGGTGCGGGGGCAGGAAACTGTTTTGCTATATCTTTAAATATATACTAGTGGTTAATTTTTTTTTAGATCAATGCAAAAAAATCCAAAATGAATTACAAAAGAAATGGTGTTTTTTCTTACTTTAGTTTCCTGCATCGAGATGAGAGAAAATTGATTTTTTAAACTCCAAAACATATTTTGAACTGTGGAAAATCATATGGGTCTAAAAAAATCGAATCAGTGGTGACTGCACTACATTTAAAGCAAGCTTTTGGATTATATGTGGCAACACAAGTTAGTTATAGATAGCCTTTAATCTTAAGAACTATATGTAAAGCATCTTTGTGCCTGAAGAGTGCTCGGTATATTAGAACTAATCAAGAATATGTATAGAGGGGGCTGGAGTGATAGTACAGCGGGTAAGACATTTGCCTTGCACGAGGCTGACCCAGGTTCGATTCTCAGCATCCCATATGGTTCCCTGAGCACCGCCAGCATTAATTCCTGAGTGCAAAGCCAGGAGTAACCCCTGGGCATTGCCGGATGTGACCCAAAAAGCAAAAAAAAAAGTTTAGAAAAAAATGACTACCTCATAGTACTAATATCAATCACAAAGGTATAATACTTTGCTTCATTTCATGATTTTTTGTCAAGTTAATCAACATAAAATGAATTTAATGAACTAATTTATTTTCTCAGAGAGCCTGGCAAGCTACTGAGAGTATTCAATATGCCAAACACAGTAACAAGAAGTCTCACAATGGAGACAGTGCTGGGCCCGCTTGAGCAAATCGATGAACAACGGGTTTGACAGTGTTTCAATTTATTTTCAGTGCTCAGCTTCCTGTGGGAAAGGTTTTAAGTACCGTGAGGTGCTTTGCATTGACCGTTTCCAAGGAAAATTAGAAGAAAAATACTGCAGTCATTTACAGAAACCTCAAACTCACAAAGCTTGTAGATCTGTCAGATGTCCTTCATGGAAAGCCAACAGATGGAAAGAGGTATGTGATGTATTTTATAATATATATATTTGCATTTGTGATAGAAATTTAGTTTGCTCTTTATGATGTTTTGAACACTTTACTCCAGTAAATTGTGCTTTATTCTGTTAAACACTTTTTACACTGACCTGAATTAATACTATACACATTTTCTAATTCTACAATTACATTTTTTTATGGTTGCAAGTTTTATGAGAATTCTGTGTCACAGAATAATAAGGGGGGATTATTATTCTTGCCCAAAATATTGTTCAAGGTAGTCTACTAGTGTATATATATATATATATATATATATATATATATATATATATATGTTGGCTGCGTGCAAGGCAAATGCCCTACCGCTGTGCTATAGCTCTATATATTTGTGCTGGAGTGATAGCACAGCGGGTAGGGCATTTGCCTTGCACACAGCCAACATGGCTGACCCGAGTTCGACTCCTCTGCCCCTCTTGGAGAGCCCGGCAAGATAACGAGAGTATCTCGCCGGCACAGCAAAGCCTGGCAAGCTACCTGTGACGAATTCGATATGCCAAACACAGTAACAATAAAAGTCTCTCAATGGAGATGTTTTTGCTTGAGAAAATCAATGAACAACAGGAGGACAGTGACAGTGACATATATATATATATTTAAAACAGTATATACACAAATATACTGCTATATATCAAATAATATATATGATGATATGTGTATTTTATAATTGTATGTGTATGTGGACACACACACACATATATAGTAACTTCCTTGTTTCCATGTGCAAGCCTTACATTTCATGTAAGATTACATCTGAGTGAAGTATTGGTGAATTCTAGAGGTAATTAAATTATTTGAAGGTTGTAAAGGTGTCACTCGATCACTGAGCTGATCTAAGATAGACTAAAATGGACACACATGGAAAGACTCACAGTGAGAACCACGTTGAGAAATCACTTTACAAAAGAAAATACTTGCTTGGGAAATAAGCTCAAACTCTAAATGGGAGAGACATGAATTTCAGATGGTTGTCAAGAAAAGACCGGTTTAATAAATATGGAAGAGGCAAAACTGAATCAAGCATTAACAGCAATAAGTTCCTGAAACCTGATGTCAGTGCACTAAGTCTTCAACCGTTTTTCCGGCTATTCTTAGTAATATTGTAAAAGTGCATGTTTATTTCTTAAAGATCGAAGTTCTTTTAAGGAAAAAGAAAATCTCTCTTCTGTTGATAGAATTAGCTTGTCTCTGATGTTAGAGCTATGCCTCATAGGAAGATAGAAGTTCACACAGAAGTGAGAAGAAATAGAGTTCCCAGGTTTCTGACTTCAGAAACACTGTGTGCTCTAACAGTGTTGCAGTATGACAGCATTTGAATGTCAGAACATCATTATTATGGAGTAACGAGTTCGTGCATTGAACATTTAAGGTTTTATTGACAAAAAGAGTCTGTCAAATGTCTGAGGGCTAAGTGTGATGGTTTATATTTAACCAAAACTAGGAATAAATGTTTCTGTTTTCTTTTCCACCCCGCCAAAAAAAACATATTTTGGTTGGAGAGTGGAGAGGGTTTGGAGTCACACCTGGTTATCAGGGTTTTTTCTTGGTTCTGTGCTCAGGAGTTATTTCTGGCAGTGCTTGAGGGACCATATACTGTGTCAGGTACACAGCCAGTCAGCCGTATGCAAGACACATGCCTTAACTGTCTCTTCAGATCCCCAAAGTATATTCTTAAAAATTTGATTCTACTTTTAATTTTGATAAAGAATACTCAGTTATTTTCAATGCTATAACAAAGACCAGACTTAAAATCTCTCTCTTGGGGGGCCAGAAACCCCAAAGTATGAAATACTAGAACCAAGAGGACAGCATCCCGTATGGTTCCTTGAACCCCTTCAAGGGTGATACCTGAGGGCAAAGGAATAAACCCCGAGTACCACCAGGTGTCCCTGAATTTCCCTAGTGAATGCTACAAATATTTGCTATTTTTTGGAAACTGAATCCATTCTGTTTTCTCCCTTGACATGCACTCACTCAACCCTCTCCATCAGTCTAGTTCATCACCCAGAAGTAATGTGCATACTCAGGAGTAAGATCGCCTTTGTACATAAATTTTTACTCCAGTTTATTTGCTGGTAGTGTGAGTTCTGGAAGAAATAAAGTATTGCTACCTCTCAATGGTATTTGTTTTTAGGAAGTAAGTCTAAAATCTAACCATGCCTGTTTCTTCATTCTCTCAACCATACAATCATAGAAACAATAGTTGTTTTGTTCACTAAGCACAGAGCTTAGTATAGCACTGTCTGTCCACTCTAGCACTGTCCTGTTGTTCATTGATTTGCTCGAACAGGCACCAGTAACGTCTCCATTGTGAGACTTGTTGTTACTGTTTTTGGCATATCGAATATGACATGGGTAGTTTGCCAGACTGTGTGAGCGGGATACTCTCAGTAGCTTGCCAAGTTCTCCAAGAGGGTGGAGAAATTGAACCTGGGTTGGCTGAGTACAAGGCAAATGTCCTACCTGCTGTGCTATCACTCCAGCCCTCTCAGAATTTAGTATATAGCTAAATGTTTTAAAATCATTTATTTACTGGGGTAATTGGACCACAACTGTTGGTGCTCAGGGGCTGCTCTCAGTCCACTGAGCTTGGAGACCATGAAGTGCTGAGGACTGAATGAGGTCAGAGAGGACCGTCCTCTCTCATTCTCTCTCTCTTTCTCTCTTCCTCTCTCTCTCTCTCTCTCTCTCTCTCCCCTTCTCTCTCTCCCTCTCCCTCTCCCTCTCTCTCTTCCTTCTTCGCTGCTTCTAATTTAGAATTCTGTGATTTCGTTGCAAAATTACCTCAATTTAATAATGATATTTATTATTTGTTATTGTAGCTTGTCTCAAAGTGGAGGTTTTTCCTTACTTTATTGGAACAAAGACATTGTAAAATGACTTTCCCTGAAAGGTGTAAAACTAAAGACACTGATTCCAAAATTGGTACTAACTCCGAAATGACACCAGGCAGGAGACACTGAAAATCTGGAAGGGAGATGAAGAGATGTTTTTCCTTGTTAACCACCAATATTCCTGTTTATTCCCCAAATAATTTTGCTGCAGATCAGCCCCCACAGCTGCTGTGGTTTAGTATTCATGAGAGACAATTCCTAACCTTGATCTCCTCCCTGTAACAGTGAAGAAATCCTGAGTGCTAACAAATGGGCCTTGGCTTACCACCAAGAATGAAATTATGTAAGATTCACTACAGGAATGTATTTCAGAGGTGTATAAGATATAGATATAAATATTCAAAAACTGTAAAACACAGATGCATTTTTATTGAGTCTGGGTTTTTTTTGCTTTTTGAATTGGCTTTCCTTGTCATAGAAATTTGCTTTATACACCCACATAGTCCCCACATATCCACCAGAAACAAATGACCACTTGTGAAGTCATTGGCTTTTGATTTATTCTATTAAAAGTAAGCACATGAAGTTAACAATTGCAGGTTGTCACTGCACTTGCACATAATAATATATTCATTCGAAGTGTAATTTCAGAGATAATTACGGGATAATCACTGGTTACTATTTTGTTTCAACTACTGAAATCGAAACACTGCATTAATATTATCATTTAGTATAAAATGATTTCATTTCATTGCTATTTTGCATTACACCTGAAGTGAAAAGAAATAATCATCTGGAAAAATGTGACGAGAGAGAGGCTCCCGTGAGTTTTGAAGTAGCACTCCTCCTGGGTGTTGATATTTTAAATGAAAGGATTTATAAAACATTTAATTAATGCTGTAAGATAGGAAAGAAAAGCCAGTATATACAAGGCTATTTGTTCTCTAGGTCCAGATGGATACCTTGAGCCACAAACTAAAAACTAGTATCTTTTTTTTATGTAGGCGTATTGCTATTTATTCAGCCACTGATTAAGCTGATTGAAGCAGGCTTGAACTCCACATAACTTTAATTTTTTTTCACAAATCACAAATCATCCTGTTATTCGTCGATTGCCTCGAGCAGGCCCCAGTAACGTCTCCTTCATCCTAGCCCTGAGATTATATTCAAGGCTCTTTAGGAGAATGAGACCCATCATTGTTACTGGTATTTGGCATATTGGGTACGCCACGGGGAGTTTGCCAGACTCTGCCCTGTGGGCAGGCTACATTCGGTAGCCTGCCAGTTTGTCCAAAGTAGGAATGAGATAATGAGATGTCATAATAAGATGTCACAATAAGATGCTCAGCCCCGATTTGAGTAGGCTTGGAGATCTCGGCCCCGGAACCCGCGGCTTTGTGCCAAGCATCCTCCACCCAGATCCTCCAAATTCCAGTAGGCAGGGGTCACACCCACCAACTGGCCCCCTGGCGCCGTGTAATCCCATCAGCACCCAAGACTCAGAGACTATAAAAACCAGCTCCTGGAAGAGAACAGTGCAGTCTCCTGCCCCCGCTCCTGGCTGTCCTTGCCGGGCCCCTTGGAGAGGAGCGGGTTGAGCTTTCCTCCCCGCCCCGACCAGGGCTCTGGCAGCCGAAGACCTCTAGGACCAGCCACTAAATTTTTTTTGTTTTTATTTTTTTTTTAATTTTATTAGTGAAACACCATGAGGTACAGTTGTAGATTTACAAATTTTTGTGCTTGGATCTCGGTCATAGCACGATCAAATACCCATCCCTCCACCAGTGTCCACTTTCCACCACCAGGACAACATCCCTCCCCCCCCATCCCCCCATCCCCCCCTGCCACTGTGGCAGGGCACTCCCCCTTGTTCTCTCTCTCCTTCTGGGTGCTGTGATCAGCAAAAGAGGCATTGAGTGGTGAACATGTTCAGTCCAGTCTACTTTCGACCTGCATCTCCCCTCCTGGGAGGATCCTCCAAACACCCTCCACTTGGTGTTGCCCTTTCTATCTGAATTGTCCTTTCCCCTAGAATACCCGGCTGGCCTCTAAGTTATGGAGTAATTCTCCTGGTGCTGATCTCAGCTATTCTTGGGTATTAATCTCATATTTTGTTACTTTATATCCCCC